CAACTCACAAGCTTTCCTTTTTTTTCTGACCAGTTGGAGCTTACTCCAGCAGCGCTGCTGTCTGGCCAGGCTTGCACAGCCCTTTCTGATGGTGGATGACAGCTGTAGGTGTAAAAAAGAGACACCATTTGAACCAGAGAGGCTGAGAAGCCAACACGGCTGTGCTCTCGACATTGCTGGCCTCGGGCAGAGCTGCGGCTCAAGGGATGCCCCACACCTTCGCTCGCAGCCCTTCTGCTGCTGGGAGCCCCCGCACGCTTCACCCCTACCCAGGCAGAGAAACACTAAATGGTCACAGCAATACCCAGCCTTTAATCCCAGCTCTTCACCAGCAGACCCTGAAACACAGCAGCAACGACCTCGCAGCGAGACAGGTAGACACGTACTCACAACGTGCCCCGGAAGCACAGAGGTATTTGCACAGACGCCGCCGACTGCAGGGGCATCCAACGGGTGCGTAACTAAACTCTGCAGTGCTCCTCTTGGATAAGGCCCAGCTCTTTGCGTTCCTAAACCATTCCTTTTCTGTATCAACATAAGCAAAATGGCATAATTTGAACCATGAAACGCCCAGAGCTGTTCTCATCAAGGAAGGATTTAGGGATAGTTACAGCTCTTGTTTATAGAGATGCTTGGTGCCCAGGATCGCTTTTGAAGCACTCAGAGCACATGCATTACAGGCTGTTGCTCCTCATATCCCTTGTTTTCTCCCAGATGACTAAGCTAGTGGTTGGGGGATTTTGTGTTGGTTCTGATTGTGCTCCAAGGCACAAAGCAGAGCAACATCACAGGGATGAAACTCCACGCCCTCAGCTGCTGGGAACTTCCTACAGAAGGTAAAATGGGAAGGAGGCAGCCCAGGTTAATCCTATCCAGCAGCTGGAAGGCAGTGCTGGTTCTCCGGGTGCTTGCAATGATCAGGAGTGCAGTTACAGCAGAACAGGACTTGGTCACACACTAAGGGGTGTCCAGAGGATGGCTGCTACCCAAATGCAGCAGGTGAACCATCTCTGCACTCCTGCAGAGCAACAGTTTTGCCCAGCTGCACTCATAGGCCAAAGCCAGATGCCAAAAGTTCATCTGCTCAAGCGTGTTTCAAGTCACTGTGTGCTTTGATGAAGCAGAAGTGGATCACACCAAAAACAACAAGCCAAATATTTAGGAGAGTGAGCACAGGCTGAACTAAGCAGGGGGACAGTGCACAGCTTGCTGTGTCATCACTTGCAGCTACAGGACAAAGCTTTGAAGAGGACAAGCGCCTCAAGTTTAAATAAGAGCCAGAAGAAACATCGCTCTATGTGCAAAGAAAGGCCCTTATGCCTCCCATGAAGTTCTTGGGATGACTGAGGGTCACCCATTCATCAGCAAGTCCATTTTCATTTGGTGATGCAAGTTCCAATTTGACCATAACACCTGGAGCCAAGGACCATTTGCACCATCACCCTGTTGTCAGCACCACTCCACACTGATGCAAGGCAGCCCCCCAAGCAGAGGGAGCCCCACTCAGAGGTCAGCCCTTCTGGTCTGGCCCAGAAATAGCATGATGCATCATGAAACAAAATGAACAGCTTCAGTCTGACATGAGCTTGAAAAACCTGTTCATGTGAAGCATATTGAGGCAGCAGGCAAGTTCAATTCATTTGCAGTTTCCCTAACAAGGGGTCTATTTTCATCAGAAACATTTTAAACATCTCCAAGGATTTCAGACCAGCACTTCATCCTGGAAGTGCTGCAGCTTCTTCTAGAATGCAAGCAACTCTATGCCTTAGGTGGGGAGGAAGTCAAGGCACCTTAGCTAGAGGCTTATTGAAGAAAAGGAAGAGGCAAGCCTCACCACTGCATTTATGCTTCTATGGCATAAAACATCCATGAGGGCTGAGCACAATGCAATTCATCTTTGAACTGCAGGGCTGATGTTGAGCATGCCCTCAGTTCAAGCATTAAATCTGAGGGTCATTAGTTAAGTGTATTTAAACCAGGTTTGTGCAAACATAACACTCTAGCCTCAGCCCAGCTTGTTTGCGTAGGTAAGATTAGAGTCTGTTACTCACCAGATCACAGGAACTTCTCCCTATGTATCTGAAAGATAGGGGTATTCCAGGACATTTGCTTCTTATCACCTGGTTTTAGTGGAAAATTTAATCCCATTGAGTACACAGCCAGATTTCTACACCCAGGACTCTGCCTTGGTACCAAAGAAGTTCAGAATCACACCCAGAAATACCATTTCCCTATGAGCTGTAGCACAGAGTCATCAGCATGCGGCGAGGCACAACAGACAACTCAAGAGTTGACCTGTAGACCCCAACAAGCCAACGCAGACAACCCCAGGTAGCTTGGCCAAGACCCTAACAGCACACAGCATGGCAAGACTTACCTTCCCACTTGTTGCTCAGGGCAGAGTAAGCACACACACAGATACTGCATTAGTACCAAGAGCAGCCAATGGCCTCTGCTGTACCTGACTTTATGCTCTGTAAGGTTGGGTAAGGGGTTAGACATCAATTACTAGTAGTTATAAAGACAGAGTTTTTCAGCACCACCTAAGACTGAGCACCACTTTGCATCAGCCTTTCACACAGTAATAAGCAAGTGCGGAAAGATGGAACATAAAGATGCCACCCCTCACCCTTTAAGTTGATTTAGGCTTACAGTCCCATAGGTCAGCCACATGCATGAAGCATAAGTGTCTCCAGAGTCACAGAACAGCCTCAGCTAACGGGCACAACTTCAAATTGCATTAGCCTTGCAAGTCACCACACCTCAGACCTGAAACACCAGGACCAGCCATTATCTGGAAGGTCAACCACCCAACACACTTTGACAGTAAACACAAAGCCAGTATGTTTGGAAAGCATTTTCAAACTTTATTTACAACTGTCACAGTGACAAAAATGTAGTTTGAAAAAAATGCTAGCTTCTCCCTGAGGCTCAAAAAAGAATTACAGAAATATAGAATGTATATCATACAACAGGAGGAGTTTTACTGGAGTGCTTTGTTCTTTAGATATGTTCAACAACAAATAGAAATATACACAATACTTCCAAAAATAGGATGCAGACAGACATATGCAAGTCTTTAGGGCAGACAGCAGGTCTGAAGTCCAAGGACTGCCATTTCCTTGCTGCCCACACGGTAGTATCTTTGATATACAGCTTTGACCTGGTGGTACAGACAGTAGAGACCAATAGAGAGTAACACTTAGAAATAAGACAACTGGCTGGTATGCAGGTGTACAAGCTCATTCCAGTAAGACAGCAAGACTAGAACAAGTGTTACAGATACAACAGCTGAATCCATCACTAGAGAAAATGGTATCACCACATCATGACCATTCGGTGATCAACTGTCCACCAAGATGGGCAGGGAGTGTGTATAACCAGGTCTGCATTGCTGGACCGGAGACCAGCCGCAGCGTAGAACACTGAATTTCTCCTGCTTTGTGCTAACTCATCTCCAAACTCCTATCTGTCCAAAACAGTTATGCAGAGCTGATAAATTATTGCCATTATGTTTAAACACAAGCAAGACAAGACTAAAACAATCCTGCCAATATGTTAAAAGCAGTTCCCAACCCCCACCAGCGTTTAACTACTCATGAGGTATTAAAAATACAAATACACACATGTCCAAATAGATTTTAAAAATGGAACCAGTTATAAGCAAAAGGGGGGTGGCATTGGGATTATTATGAAAGTTTGGTTAAGGCCTTGACATTTCCTTTTCTCTTCCATGACCCCAGATTTGGTTTAGGTGGCAACTGTTCCCATCCTATCCCAAGACCAACTGGCTCCCAAGCTGGTCCCCGAAGCTGCGAGATCATCACTTCCCAGGAAAGCAGCGGGTTACCCATTCTGGCAGCAGACTGGCCTCCTCCCCAAACAGACACAGATGACTTCTCCTTAGAGCAGGATATGGTGAAGAGGACACAACCACAGACTTTGCAAACCAGTCTGCATTTCGTTAAACACCCACAAATGTTTCACCCTTGCTATGAAGCAGAAACATTTTGTCTCAGGACACCCAGGCTAATTCTCTCCCGAGAGACTGCTCCTGCAAACCTCCCCCCTCGCCCACTGGTGATCCACACTAGATCTGGTGTTTCGTCTTTGGATTACCTCCAGGTCTGGCAGTATTCCACCCCACCAGCCTGTCCCACACCGAGGAGGCTCCGCAGTGCAAAGCTGGAGGAGATCCCCCCGCTCCCCAGCCCACTGACCAGCGAGTTGGGGACATGAAACCCTACAGCCTCAAGGACACACCAAGGAAAGGAGGTCTAGCCCCCACCCTCTGGCTGTGGACACTGTACAAGGCAAGACCAGCCACAGCGGCTCCAGCAAACAGGAGAGAAAAATCCAAGGTGTTCAACCCTACACAAGTTCTTGCTGCGGACAGAAGCACCTTGACATCCGACACACATGACTTCACGCTAACCACCTGCAAGATAAACTTGGGCCTCGCAGTGGAGATGACAAGCAGAAGCCTAACACTGTCCTGCAAACACAGCTGTTCAGCATTGAAGAGTCTAAAGGCAAACGAGAGGGAGAGAAAACAGCTTTGGGAAAAGTGGCTGGAAAACAGGCTCAACAGCAAGAGCAAGAAACCCAACTACTCCTACGGACACTCACGTTACCCTAGGAGGTGCTGAACTGAGGAGAGCTACAGGCCCCTCCTCAGGGGCGCATTTAGCCATGCTTTGCTACAGACACCCTTCTACACCCCCGACACACAAAATGGAAGCTGTAAGAAAGGCAAATCTGAGAGATGACGGCTCTGTTCTCAAACTTTTAGCCAGAGGCAGCTCCTGGATGAACGCTGCCGCCTCCAACTTTCCTCCCCCTCCCCGAGCTCCCCCCTCCAGCGGTCCTCGCGTGGTCACCCTCTGCCATGTGCTTGGAATTTCACTGCTGCCTCCGCCTCGGAAAAATACAGATAGTGATCTCGAGAACAGCAAACATTTCTCTGCGTTACTTCCTTCCTTCCTCAGGAGGTCTGGTGACACCGAGGGCTTCAGTTCTCGATACAGAGAATACAAAAAAACTAAGATCTCGCAGGTGCAAAATTGAACTTGTCTTTTTTTTCCTTAAAAAGACTTTCAGAAGTGTGGCTCTTCCTTCAGAAGGGTCAGTCCCTTGCCTTTCCTCAAATACCATTTATTGCTCCTTGTTGTCCTTCTTTGCATCTTCACAGTTTTCTTCCTCCTCTTCCTCCTCCTCCTCCTGCACAAGGAACTCTTCAGGTGGCCATCTCAGCTCACCGCTCTCCACATCGCCCTCCGTTGGCTCCACCACAATTGAGGGCAGCCGGTCCTTCAGCTTACAGTAACGGTCAAAGTCCGAGGGATCAGGGAAGATCTGAAAAAGCCAAGAAACAGTGTGTGAGAGGGGCTGTGTTCAAACAGGTTTAGCCAAAACCCAACTCTAAAGACACTCGGGTCTTCAGGGCAGACTAGTCTGGACACAGAGTAAACCGGAGTGATGGGAAGACTCTTGAACTTGTCAGTAAGCTTCTCTAATCTGACTATTGGAAGTGAGCACTGCCCAAGAGGCTTCCAAAGCACCTGTTTGCTTGGATAGCACTCAGCAAACAGGCATCTGCCCTTTTGGGTATTTATCCAAACACTTCACACACACACACCACCACCACTTTTGCATTAACGCTCATGAGTTTGCAGACTGAGCTATCTCGATCAGAGAATCTGAGATCTCATTTCCTGCTGCCGGCCAAGCTACACACGAGACCGGGCTCGTGCCCCAGGCTCTGCTGCCAGAAGCGAGAGGGGGCACGGGGCAACCCAGTCCCTGGAGTGGTCACAGCAAGGGCCTGCATCTGGTATTGCTCCAGGGCCACAGCACCAGAGCACAAGACAAGTTCAGCTGCATGTTAAGAGAATTTTGGCAGTGTTCTGCATGCTACAGCTACCATACCACACAGCAGCAGTGAAACTCAGCAGGAGGACACTCATTTTGTGGAAGGGTTGGAGATTGGACCATATCCTGGAAACACTCAAGGTCAGGTTGGGGCTTTGAGCAACCTGGTCTGGTTGAAGATGTCTCTGCTCACTGCAGGGGGATTGGACTAGATGACCTTTAATGGTCCCTTCCAACCCAAACCCCTGATTTCTTGGGGCAGGAGGTACCTGTGGCCTAGCCAGCCATTAGGTACCCTGGTGCAAGGAATGAGGACCCCCTTATCTCCAGCCCTGCAAGGCACACAGAGCAGTACCTTACCCCTTCCCTCCCACCCACAGCTTGCCCCATGGATGCACATACCCTGCAGCAGCACCAGGGCCCAAGCTCTCCAGCAGTGCCACTGGGATGCATGCTCAGATCCTGCCAGGAAGTGAGGCAAAGACACAGGTGCAGGGAAACCGCCAGCGCGGTGTTAGCAGGAGGCTTGCATGACTGAACTGCAGTGCGAGCAGAAGAGGCTGCTGTTACTTATAGGGACGCCCTGCTAGGGGAACAGCTTCAAACCCCAGCTCATCCAGAAGAGAACTACTGGGTGACAAGAACCAGTTGCCACATCAGAGCCTATGGCTAGTAACGGGAAGATTAAACAACTACCACTTGTTTATTCCAAACAGTTTTATCAGACCACCCACTGCAGTTGCATTTAAACACCCCAAAGATAATCACAAAACGCATTTCCCCTGCAGGCTGTAGATGAGGCAAGGACTCAGTCACTGTATTTTTCTGTGAACACCAGCATTCCGAGCATCCCTGCAGAGAACAGCACTGCCAGCCTCAGATGGGGCACCCTGCTTTCAAGCTGAGGCACCCATGAGCAAGAGCTCATCTGCTTTGATCTTTGTGGTTCCAGTTACACAAGCTCATTCCCCATCCATGAGCCCTCAGCATTAACCACAAAGCATCCTAATCTTCATGCCAATCACGCAGGTACCCACCATCTTCAGAAGCCCTGGCACAAACCCCAAAGGAAAATATCATCCTATCAACTATGAACCACACCATTATCTCCTTGTCAATACTCAGTCTCCTGTTCAGCCACATTTCTCCCTTGCTTCCAAAGCTTTGTGGCAACCAGGTTACCAATCTGGGAAAGCCATTAGGTCACTACTTAAAGTCAGACAGGATAACTTTGGGAGGGGGGATGCTTGGGCAAGAGACTCAGTGCGAGGGCTCTTTGCAGACAGACATCTGGTCCTGGGGACAGCAGGGCTGGAGCCCAGCTCCCACTACAGCACCCACCATCCTTACGCTTGTCAAGTGAGGTCTTTGAACCCAGCCACGTTAACACGGGCTTTGCAGCATGAGCTCCTCGCCATTAGTCACTCCCAGCACAAACGAGACAGTAACCGTGTCTCAGAGCTTTGTGGCTTCTGCTTGGCCAAACAAAGGCAGTTCCAGACAGGCAGTGCGTTGCTGGAAATAGTCGGTGGCTCTTAAGCATCAACTCGTTATCTAAACTCAGGATAGGAAAAAAAAATACCCTTGACATTACATGGTTTAGAAGGTTGCAATGGAAAAAGAAGTGTGGTTCAGGAGGTTACATAAGCTGATAATGTCATGAAAATAGCCTCCTGTGCAAGAAAAATAGCAGTATAATAATTAAACTAACCTTTGGCTGCTATCATTTTAAGCACATTAGGTCAAATTGGAGCAATTTCTTTGGAAACAGCCTGCCAGATTTTTTTTCCAGAAACTAAGTAGTAGTCATTTCCTTACAAACAAATATCCCCAAAATGTGGTGTGCAGCTTTTTTATTAAAAAAGCCCGACCACAATCTTATCTCAAACAGCTGCAGGACAGGCCGAACCCAAGAAGGTCAGGATTTTTTCCACTAAGTCATGCTTTTTAATCGTCGAGGCAGCACGGAGGGAGATGTTGCAACTGCACTTTCAAGGGGTGTGGACAGCCAGTGGAAAAAATACACAAAGGCAGATTTCCTCGCATGTGATGAGCGGGGTGACACGGCAGGCCCAGCACAGGGTCCGAAGAAAAATGGGGTTCAGATTAAGACTGTTGGCTCATCTGGGGAAACCAGGTGGAAAAGTTACCCCAACCAGCCTCCCCGCACCAAAATAAGCTGTATTGCCAAGCTGTTTATGAAAAGCTAAGCAAGCACCAGCTTTCTGCTGTCCCACACCAGTAGTTCCATGCTGCATTTGTTGGTCCCTTATGTCCGACCTGGTCCCAGCCCAGATTTAGACAATGGGAAGGAAAAAACCAACTCCGACTTGCAGCACGGTCCCCACAGGGAACAGAGCACTGAGCTCTGCACCCTTCTGCGCAGCAGCCAGGGCAGCTTGTCTAACCAAACCTGCCCCATCACCCAGCTCAGCTGTGTGGGAGGGAAACTTTGCATCTCCCCACTGCCCAAAGGGTGCAGCACAAATGGGATAATTCCCCCCCTTTATCCAAGGGAGCCACCTTGCCCATGGCTGAAGTGTGAAGATAAAGTACTTCTGGCTGATGTGGTCACTCTGTGGGGACAAATGGAAGCCACCACCTAGTCGTGAAGCAACCTCAAAGCAAGTTCAGCAGCAACCCAAAGGTACCTTCCTCCCTCTCACTTGCATGACACAGCACAAACACTGCCACTGCTTCCACAACCTCCCTCCTCCTGAAGCTGAGCCCCAGCTCCTGGCCCATGGAGACACACATTCAACACCTTCAGAGCCCACAGAGGACACGTGTATTGCTTCTTAAACTACTCAGAGATTCTCGCTCACACCAAGGCTAGTTTTCACAGGCCTCTCCAGACTATGCTGTGGGAACAATTCTCCTCACAGACTGATCCAGATCACATACAAATCAACTGAACTCTCGCCTTGCAGCTAGAAAGGGCAGTGAAAAGCAGAGCTTGGAATGAAAGCTTGAAAGGATTTTAGAAGGATCATGTTTGCCTCTGTTTCAGATGATCTAGCTCTACTATCCTTGAATGAAGTCTTGGCAACAAGAACGGAAAGTTTCCATTGCCCTGGGGAGGGCTCATACCCTCTCTCAGCATTCACAGGGATGGAGAAACAGCAAAAGCAGCAGAGATGTCAGACAATTAAGAGGATTAGCTCAGAGCTACCATAATCCAAGTGACACTTGTAAATTTAAAACAACTTCCACATGTGTACTCCATACCAACACCCATAGTTAAAATGCTTGTCTCCCCTCCCATGGGGCTGAAAACTATTTCAATGATATTACAGGGAGAATAAGGTAATGACATCTTCCCAAATTAAGTTACTGTTCTGGGGGAAAGCTTTGCTTCACTGTAATACTGTACGAGACTGGAAAGTCGGCACTGAGAGGCATACCATTTCAGGTATAGTGCACACCCTGATGTACACACATCCTCCCAGTACTAAAAAGCTAAGTTTTGTGCCTCCTCAGTAGTATCTAGTCAATATTCCAAATCCCAAATCAGCATTTACGCTCTGGAAATAAAACTTTACTGCCATTGAGAAGCACGGAAAGCTCATTTCAGAAAATATTTAAATCAACTTTCAATGTCCTCTTTGGATAAATTTTTCAACTCTAAGAAGCAGTGCTAATGCATACGTTTACTCATACAGCAGTCATGACTTGAAACTGAGCTCCATCCAGTCTGCACACAGCAGCCTGTGACTCAGGTTTATGAACTATGGCAACTCCCCAGGCACAGACACATTGCCCTGTCTTGGGGGACCGGTGGCTGGGAGGTTTCACACATCATAACCATTTTCCAGGGTAAGAAGACATCAAGAAGGGGGGAAAAACACACACCGAGATGTTCCGATAAGCTGCAGTCTTCAGTCTGCATTTGAGTGGAACGCTTTTTTGCGTAGCATAGCTGCCAACACAATTCGTTTTGGTTCTGTTTACCCCATATCCTACTTCTGCCATCATTTAAGGTTCAAGACCCTGGAAGACACATGGACTCAGCCTAATAATCTTGTCTAGTAACTATGCATCAAATGTGCTATGTGAACAAGTTATCCTAAACTCACTTGCTATCACCACCTTTTTGCAGACCAGTCTTACTCAAGACCACCCGCATTAGCAAGCACCAGCTCTAACACACGGCTTCCCCTGCACAAATCAAGGCTGCACAGACACAAAGCACCTTACAAGCAAACAAGACAGAGAGGAAGTTCAACTCCCACCCTCTGCCATCAGCCTGTGGGTCAGCAACACATTGGTCCCTCAGCTGAGATGGGGGGATGCAGCTCAAACCTCTCAACACCAAGCACCACAGCTCCTTGGGCAGGTCAGTGCTTCATGGGTGTTGGCTTCCCCAAAAACCATTCCCCCAACAAGACAGATGACCCAAGCCTTCGCCGTAGACACTGGACGGAGCGTTAAGCCTATTTACCTAAATTCAGTCAGCCTGACGTGATTCGCAGCTCACTGTGGCTGTGATTAACCTAGGCACATCCCAGCATGATGCGATCATGACTTAAAGAGCTCAAGCTCCCCATGACAACCAAACCCCATCTGATGGCATGAGGCAAGCTCAGCCTCTGCGTGCCAATCTCCTAAAAGGGAGACTAAGGTCCCGCAGGACCGGCGAGCCAGCCAGACAGCCAGTCTGCAGCAAATTAGCACGCTCAACCCGGGACACAGCATTAGCTCCGTATAAACACCGTGGGCATCAGTGTTTTCGGTTGTGCTCAGACCCCGCTCCACTTCCAGGAAGCAAGGCAGGATTCAGGTCAAGGTACTGTGTTGACAACAGCTCCGCGAAACGATTAAGTCAGCCTCAGTTTCAGTAGCATCGGTCGTGCTGCTGTGAAGATGGCACCAGAGGACAAGCTGGCAGAGTGCTGATGAGGCTTTTCAGAGAACAGCTATATCTAGGGGCTGGAAAATAGCAAGCGGTACATTAGCTCTGACTGGCAGTGAAAAAGGCCTGGCTTATGGGAGACTGCCAGGCAGGAAGCACATGAAGCCCTCCATAGGCACATCTGTTTGTAGCAGGGGCATCTTGAGCCATCAGCTGCATTTCAACGAGTTTTTTGTTTAGTAAGTCCCATAGGAATTATGGGACATCTATTAAAGATCCAGAAATAGCTCTTCACTGCAGGCACAAGACCCAGCATGACATCATCTCTCCAGCTGCATCTTCTGTTTTGTCTATGCTGCCCTGCTTTGCGACTCATGCCCAGATTTCACCATTCGCTTCTGCTCAGGCCCTTTAAATCCATCGGCTGAACCATCTTCAGGGGGCCCAGAGAACAGCTTTACACCACAAATACAGTAATAAACCTGCTTTATACACAGCAAGGTTTTGAAATTAGTACATTAGCTTACAAGCATTTGGCATATTAACTGGAAAAAGGCATTTCCACGCTGAGAAAGCACATTTTGCAAGTGAAACTGCACAAATTACAAAGCCTACACAGGCAACTCGGTTACCACTGACAGTACTTCTGCAGGCAGAGTTGTCACATCACTTGCCTGAGGAGGAGCGATGGCCAGTGCAAAGGCCAGGAAGAAGCTTCCCCAGGGGGGTGCACACCTTCGGCAGATGTCTAGGCAGACACACACTCCAACACATGAGCAGAGGCAAGGGAGCAGAGGAGGTAGAAGGCAAAAGGCAACAAGCCAAGTTCCCTCTGCAACCAGTGAGCCAGACCGGAGCCTGGAAGTTCAGTGAACTCCGTAAGACAGAGGAATTGGATTGCTGAAATTTATACTCTGTACAAGTTTGTTTCCTCAGTTTACTTCCAAGTAAAGGCAAAAATTCTTGGAAACAGTACTGTTGGTTGGACAAGTCTGTCTCCAACAGACACTGATGTGCTTTACAGTTCCAGCAAAGCTGCTGTACCATCTCCTCTGGTCCAGGCAGTTTCATGTCTGCATGTGGTGGTAGAAGCAGCCCCCAGGCTCACTGCTAGAACCCTATGGAGCAACCCCCCAGGCAGTCCCTGCTCTATGCAGCCCAAAGGGGGACACTTTGAACCTCATTTTGAGGTCATCTCTGCAGTAAAATAAATACAAGTTCTACTACTAGAACAAGAGAAACTTTGGAAGCTAAAAGCTTGCCTCTCCCAGTTCTGGCTCCACTTTTTGTTGCCTATCGTAGGCTGTTACACTCACATCGTGGGTGCCCAGCTCTGCAGATGACTAGAGGAAGACGTTGCAGCTTAGAACAACAAAACTCAGTGTAGGAGCAGTCATGCTCCATTAGCCCTGTCTGGTTTAAAGTTACTGCACTACAGCCCCCAGACTAGCATACAATTTTTCACATACCAAACTCCCTCCATCAGCAAGATGAAGCACCAAGTACCGAAGTCTGAGGTATAACAAAGAGTTCAGTGTGACTTGCATCAGACTTGTTCTTGTTGTTCTCACTGGACTTTTCAACCCTTTAAGAATGCTTTCAACTTACCTTGATGTACACTGACATTCTCAGCCTAGCAGCCAGAGGAGGAAGGCTGGAGCCTGCTCCTCAGTCTTCCTTACACTAACCTGATCTAGAGGCAGATCTCATACACAGCCCACACACCATCAGTGCCCCATCAGATTCTTCCATTTCAACACCTCGACCCTTTCTGCCATCAGTCTGGCTCACAAAGTGAAATACCAGCAGGCAGTTCCCAGCTCTTTGCAGGCATTTGAGAAAAGTCATCTATGACTGGACCACTACAGAAGAGAGATCCAGGATGCATAAACCCTGCATAGATGAGTCGTCAGCATTTATGACTCACATCTTCAGGTTCAGATGATCCACTCATAACTGATCAAGCCTGTTCCCCAGTTGACCCAAGCAGACTTATCAAGGTCATTAGCACTTGGGGAAAAAACTCGCTGAAGCAATCATTACAACAAGCAGGGCACCTAGATGCTGCCTCTCACTGGAAAATCTGAATAGGTAAATAGAGGCTTTTGACCTGTGTTAAGCCTCTTCATACGGTGACCTATAACAACAGCTGAACATCCCAATGCATGCTAGTTCGCTTCAGGTTTATAACCATCCTCGTTGCTGTACGCTCCCTCTACAGGAGAGGAGACAGCCTGTACGCTTTCCACTAGCTTAGGCACTGAAGCACAGCTATTTCCACACACAGGCAATAAACCAAACAACTTGTACTATCCAGATCCAGAATTCTGACCAAAAAAAGCAATGCATCCCCCTTTTCCTCCCGTGGCTTTGGCTTCTGCTGGAGGCCTCAGCCCAAAGTTCTGTTGATTTCACGCTCCAGTGCACTGTTACTGCCTCGTAGCTCATTTTTCAGACGTAAATATGCAAGCATACAACAGCACACCTTATTTGAATGCTCGCTTAGAGCAACTGCCTCTGTGCAGGTTGTGTAACATCTGCAAAGGAAGAACCCTGCATCAGGATCTGCCACGAAGAGCCGCCCGACGCACAGACCAGATGCGAGTCATCTGCACACACTCAGTGCCCGTGTTAAATCTCATCAACAAGTCTCCTGTAGGAAAACGTTGATCTTAGCCTACTAGATCCACAACTGGCCCTTTGATTAACTATAAACTAGGAAATTAAAGGGATACTGAGACTAAGTATTAAGGCTCAAGCTGGTTTCTAAGACCACCTCTTCATCCCAGACATTGATCTAGAGGTTAACAGCCAACTACTTTATTCAGAACTTTCAGAATGAATGCAGTTCGTGCCTTCAGATGCCAATACCACCAATGGCATTTCAAGGCTTGTTTAGGCTGTCTCTGGTCCCACTGTAGCTTACAGAAGACTGTTAACCCCCACAAATGGGCCCACCAGTCAAAAACCCCAATAACTAGATAAAAAAGTAAATGCCATATGAAGAACTCCTTCCTGCTGTAGGCAGATGATTCGTATGCTGTGTTACAAGGAGGTCACGAGAGTCCAACGGGTGATGTGAACCCTTCTCCAACTGATCTCCCTGCCTCCCACTGAGCCCCTGTGAATGCTGAATGAGTGGGGGTTCGACCACTTCAGAAACAACCAAGTCCTCTGCCAATCCGGGCTGATACCGAGGAATATTTTAGACAACCAGCTCCTGCCAAGCAAGCATCCAGGCTGTGGACTAGTTCTCACTACAGGAAGGTGTGCTGTTAGGTCAGGCTACGGAAAGGTGCGTTAGACAGAGTTTGCAGTCCAGCCCTGGCAATTCCGTAAGGGATTACTGCCTTAACAGCCAGCAAAGCGCTTACCTGATAGGACAGGCCATCCTTGCGGGGGCTTAGCCCAATCTCATCCATAGCTGGGGTGTTCATCATCACTTCAGTCATTTCAGCTGATCTCAGATAATCAGAGCTGGGAACAAAAGACAGCATTCACATCATCCGAGGGGCTCCAGAGGGGCTGAGCAAGACTGCAGGAGCACGGGGAAAGAAAAGCAGGCAGAAGAGGCTATCGGCAGGCTATTTCTGGTCCCTTCCTTCCTGCCTCCCCCCTCGGAAGGGGACGGAAAAAGCCCAGCGCCCGAAGCGGCGCGGCATGCCCTGCGCTCCCCCGGCTCCCTCCCCAGGAGCGCGGCTCAGGAACGCCGCGGGAGGCGGCGGCGCTCAGCACTTCCAACTTCGCTTCCTCCCGCTCTGCCCCCTAAGGGGGGAGAGTAAAAAAACACACTGAGTAACTGCAAGCGCTTGGGGAGGGGGCTTTTTTTCCGCTTTAAGCTGGTGCGTTAGCTCCTGCCGACTTATTTTACAACCTCGGGGACTTCCACAGCGGCGGAACGCACGGCGCCAAATCCAGCTCCGCTTTTACGGCTTTAATGGCGTTTCCAGCTCGGGAAAAGTGAATTCCCGCAGTTGGCGAAAGCGAAGCGAATTCCCACGCTCAGCAGTTCCTCTGTTGCGGGCCGTCCCGCTCGCAACGCCTCT